CATGGGGAAGTACCACACACAGTACAGTCTAAGATGTTTGAGTCCAACTCTACAGCCTTGTGCAAATTTCTCATCTATTCTACATGTGTAGACTAGAGAGAGCTGCAATAGTGTCTTCTTGGGGTTGCACTCAAGATTCCAGAGGAGGGGAAAGTGGAAGCAGCCACAGCAAACACAAGAGCCTTAAACAATACCACAGGAGCTCGCTCTAAGTCAGTAGTCATAACCACATGTGGTGATAGTAAGAATGCATTCAGCATTTTCCCTTTCTTACTGAAAGCCATGTTATATATTATAAGTCACATTGAAAGGTTTTTTATTATTTTATGTGTATGAATGTTTTTGCCTGCATGTATGTCTGTGCACTACATGTGTGCAGTGCCCAAGGAGTCCCAAAGAGGGCTTTAAATTCCCAGGACCTGGAGTTACAGACAGTGTTGAACCACCACCTGGGTGCTGGGAATTTAACCCAGGTCCCCTGGAAGAACAGCCAGTGCTTTTAACCACTGAACCATTTCTCCAGTTCCATGTTTAAAGATTTTAAAAACTATCTTTTCTTTTATCCTTGCTTTCTTAATATCCATTGTTTTAACTAAATTTGGAGTCAGGATGATCACCTGTAACTGAGAATATACCTCTTTTTATGGTGATTAAGGGAACCAATATATGCTTGGAAGAGAGGAAGTAGCTCTACTGCCCTGTAGCACAATAAGCCAGCTCAGCTCTATAACAGTATACTTCAGAATGACTTAGAGAAGAGTTTAAGGTTCGAGACACATGGAGGTGATAGCATGTGAGGATATGGACATACTAATAGCCCTGACTTGATCATACATATGCAGTATATTTATATTGAATTACTATATCCTATATACCAAGGCTTTGTAAATGTTTCCATTCATGACCCTTTTTACCCAGTGAGCCTGGTATATAACTATAGAAAGTAGGTATGTTGGTTACTTTTCTGTTTCTGTGGTAAAACACCATGACCAAAGGCAACTTATAAAAGGAAGACTTTATTTGGAGTTACAGTTCCAGAGAGATAAGAGACCGTAATGGTGAGGAGGCATGGCAGCATGTGTCCAGAGCAGGAAGCTAAACGCTCACATCTCTTAGTACAAGCACGAAGCAGAAAGAGCAAACAGGAAGTGGAATGAGACTTTAAACTCTGAAAACCAATGTACCCAACAATACTTCCTCCAGCAAGGCTGCACCTCCCTGTAAGCTTTCCAAGCAGCACCACCAACTGGGGACCAAATGTCCAGTGCCTGAGCCTGTGGAGGACATCTTGTTCAAACTACCACATTAGGTATACAAATCAAGGATTTGCTGAAAACAAATCATTAAGGATGCATTTTAAAACAATTTGCCATACATATGATCTTCTTACTTACTAAAGACAAAAGAAACTTGCTAATGAGCTTGAGATTCTTGTTTCTTTTCACATGAAAATTAAATCTCAGCTGAGAATTTCATACTGCAGGATGTATAGCATCTTCACTGCTTTTCAGGTTTCTTCATCATTCTGATTTTTATAATTGTTGATTCTGTGAATGCTACTTCACATAAATACATAATACCAAAGAGCAGAAGTATATTAATGGCTCATTCAGAAACTTGAATATTCTGTCCTAATCTCAGGCCAAAAACTTTCATTTACCAAATGAACTCAAATCAGCAACTCTAATGGCAGTTTTAAAAATCAAATAATATAGCACAATCCAGACATAATACTAAATTGATACTTACATGCTGAGGAATACTGGAATTATGTTTCTGTACAATCAAGAAACTTTGTAGATACAGTTTAAACATTATGGTGTGGTTTAAATGTGCATTAGTGAAATGAGATGTTTCAGGGGCAATATGTGCCATGTTGTATGTCTGGAACCAGTGTTATGCTGAGGGTTGTGATACAGCATGGGCGAGCACTTCCCAGGGCACCTCGATTCATTCTGCATTTAATTGTAAAGTAAGTTTTTGGTTGTTCTGGGTTCAGAATCATTTATTGTTGTCAAATATTTTAAGACCTCCCCACGCACATTTAACACAGTTTATGAAATGAGGCTATAAGTGACTGTGTTATGTTGTAAAACTATGAAAGAATACCCCCTTTCACCAACTATACGTTACTTATTTTAATCAAAGATTAAAGGGCTGAAGACTAAGATGCCGGGCTCTCGCATTTGTCTCTAAACTGACCAGGGCCTGCCTTATTCTGTGTGCTTTAGGAAAATCCTCTGTAGAAGTCCACAAGCTTTATGGGCAGTGGTGGTGCACCCAACACTCAGAAGGCAGAGACAGACAGATCTCTGTGAGTTGGAGGCCAGCCTGGTCTACAGAGTGAGTGAGCTCCAGGACAGCCAGGGCTACACAGAAAAACCCTATCTCAAGCTTTCAAAGGACAGATCCAGAAAACGGAGAATCTCGACTGTTGTCTAGTGATCAGGATGATTGATTTCTCTTGCCTGAGTGATTGAGACAAAAGATAGAAAAGGAAGGAAAAACAAACCTTGGAGAACAGTTGCTGTTCTTTTCTCTACCTTAAGCAATAAAGTTTGAAAGTTTGGGTGTTTACCCCGTTTCATGTCACATATCAAAATATGCTCTACAGTCTTACATGTATGTGTTCCTGTGTTTTGGCTATTCAGCTTATCTTTTATATCACAGTGGCAGATCATGCTGGGGAACAGGAAAGTCCTAGAAAATGATAAGTGGCCTTTGGAATACCCTGCAGTCTAGGTTAAAAGGGAGTCTGAAAATACAAGGTATGCAAACAAATACTTAAAATATGATGCACTTAGGCCCTAAAACCAAATTCAAAGGACGCTTCTAAGTCTAAAATACCCCAGCTATACATTAAATATAAAATCTAGAGTTGGCCAAACCACCTACAACTAACAAAATTAGTTATGATAATGCTGAAGTGTAGTATTACTTCATTAAAAGGTAAGGCCATATGAACCAGTGGGCAATTTGGAATTCCCAAAATGTACCAACATTTCCCTTCAACAAGTAGCAGGAAACTCGGTTGTCCATGTGTATGCTCTCACTGTGCACAAGCATAGTGAGAACTCTGCAGTCAGCCCAGCTTTGCAGAGTCGCTAGGGATTGTTGGAATTGAGAACTGGCTCAGCCTTAGTCTAAGCTAGCTGGTTTACCTAGCTATCAGATGCCTTTAACAAATGATTCAGGTTACTGATAACCTTGGAAGTCCAGATGAAAGTTAATAGCATGATTTTATCATTTTCCGAGTCCCCATTCTCTGCGTGCACATGCCAGTTTTGAGAATCATCCCCCCCTCCCTCCCCACACTCTTCACTCTGCTTGTCTAGAGTTGTATGTAGTATATACTTGCTTCCCAACTATGTGCTTTGGCTTGTCACAAAGAACACACTGTAAGGTGGCTAAACAGTAGAATATGATGCTATTGTTGCTTTTGTGGTAGATATCAGGCACAAGCAATGTGGGTTTTTATTATATTGATTAGGATAAGGAATGTGATGATGTTCAATGTCATGTCTGCCCAGTGCATTGAAGCAACACACTTGGCTGTTTTTCCTTTATAATGTAAGTTGAGAGGAAATGGTTACTTTTGCTTACTTCAAGAGTTTTCATTCTGATTTTTTTATGATGACATGCATTTTATAATGAGCGAAAACCATTTTCCCTTAAGAAAACCTAGATAAATGTATTCATGTTAAAACACTGAACAGTATTTTCTTTGGACCCAAAACGTGACCAATTCCTGCTTCAAGCGCAGTGGCACACCAAGTTCTTTGTTAATAAACTGGGTCTTCGAAGACTACAGCTCCCAAAGCAGTTCTGGGGGTTCGAGTCATTTGCTCACCCCGTAACATCCTTAACTACACTATCAATTATGCTTCTTCATGTTGTTAGTGGTGTGCATATATCTGGGTGGTTGGGTATGGGTATGTGGGGGCACACACCCACAGTGTGTGCATGCACTTTTTAGGAAGAGGGTTATGGATGCCTGTCATCTAAGCATTTGGGTGATTCCTTTCTCTCAAGAACAGCTAGCTGACTGCAAGTCAAGGGGAAGAATAATGGGCAGTAACTGTTCATTATCTAGACAGAACTGAATGTCTTTTCCTCCTTCCCTCTCAAATGTGGCAAATGATGATCTTTCTGCAAACAGTTGAAACTAGGTCTTTCAGTGACTTCTCCCCATTGGATACTAACTATGCCACCAGAGTGGTGACTGTGCACTCATTTGTGCTAGATTGTTTAAAAGTATTTTATTTTTTATATCTCACAAGTTCTACAAAGTATGGAAACCATTCAAAACAATTATCATTCTAATTCTGATATGAAATTCATTAAATTTAGTTAGAAATTGTATTACATACAAATTTGACTAAATTAGCTGATACTTTACTTTCCACAGTCACTATGGGATTAATATGCAATGCGTGTGACTGAAAGCAGTCCTTTTCGTAGAGGAACTTTGATGAAGGATGTATTTTTATTAGGAAAGGTGACCCTTATAAAGATGTGAAGCCTAATTGTATATAGTAGCATTGTACACAATAAGGTCAGTGCTGATGAAGAGTGTGTAATGTGATTTCAGAGGATAACATGGACTCAGACTGTTGAGTTCCAAATCCTGGCTCCGTGACCTGCTGGCGGCATGCCAGAGACATTACCTTCTCTCTCCCTGGCTTTCTAATGTGTAGAATAGAGATATAAGCAGTAACTGGGAGAACTCTGTGTCATATGTTTGTTTTAAAATTGTAAGAATTAAATGTGGCTAATATTTGCAAAGCATTTATACATTACATGAATTTTTAATAAGTGTAGATACTATTTGTCACTGTGACCATCTAGTGTCTAGATGTGTTATCAAGTGAGTTGCTTATTAATTATGGTTTTGGAAACGTTACTGGATTGCAATCTAATTTTAAGTTAATTTGTATTTTTGTGAAGAGTAAAAATAGATTTTTACACCAATTTTGATTATTTGTTCCTTTGTATTACAGTTACAAATTATAATACTGTGGTAGAAGCAAACTCGGATTCTGACGATGAAGACAAACTCCATATTGTGGAGGAGGAAAGCATCACAGATGCGGCTGACTGTGAAGGTGGCGTGCCAGAGGGCGAGCTGCCAGCAGACCAGACAGTATTACCAGGAGGCGGTGACAGGGACGGCGGGGCTGAGAACTGCTGGCAGGATGACGGTGAGTGGAACTCCGTATACAATCTCTTCTCTCTACTCTCCTAAAATGTATTAAATGAAAAGATCAGTCGGGTAAATGTTTTAAATAAACATACTATTTGTTTAACCAAGGTTAGATGTCCTACTTATGTTTTAAAAGTAGATTTTGAATCAGAATTATGTTGTTTTGACTGTTTGAACAATACCTAAAATATATGGAATTTAATAGACTTTTAACCAGGGCTAAGCTTTCAACGTATTGTTGAAATACTTATAGCTACCTTTAATTTCATATTGGGATACCCAAATTAATAATAAATGATATATTAATATAATAAAATAATTCAGTATGCAAAAATCTCAAGCAAAGATATGTTATGAGGGGGTGTTTTTAGTAAAATGATGAACAGAAAACAAATTCCCTACTGTCTGTGCCTTGCCAAAGTTAGCAAATAAAAGTTGGCTAGGCTAGGCACTAGAAAATGGAGGACTGTCCTGAGACATGGTTACCATACTCACTCTTGTGCATGGGTTTGAGCCCCAATTCACGTTGTTGAGTGGTATCCTAAAACATCTTAAGCCATATTTGAATTTAAAATATAGGTATTGCAAACATCCATAGCCATTAAGCATACACCTTCATCCTAGTACTACAGATGTCTCTCAATAATTTAGTAAGTAGACAGGGACATGAGAAAGCAAAAGTTAATTCAGACTATCTTGATTATGAAATGCTCCATCTTGTTTAAAGAAAAAATTAATTTGAAACTAGCTACAGATCTAATAAATGATTAGCTCCAAACCCATGAGCATCAGATAGCCCTGGTTGATCTCAGTGGCTACAAAATAGAATAAATAGACATAGACTAGAATGTGAAAGAGGGATTTGTGGGTAGAGGGGGGTTGGTAAGGAGTGTTAAAAGAGTGGGGATGAGTGGTGTGTATGTATCGCATATGTGTGCAAAATTATCTAAAAACACATTTAGTAGATGAAGCATGTTAAAAATAATTTCCAAAAATTAAAAGAATTAAGTAGTAAGAACCCAAAATGAATTTAATAGTAAGTCAAGAGAGTCAAAGAGAGAATAAATAAGGTAGAGAAAACTACACACAAAGTGAAATTCAAGTAGACCCATGTAAAACAGGTTAGCAGACGTCAAAGTCTAAGGCATGTGTGAACTGCAGGTGAGCAGAGGATAAGCAGCAATAGTATCTTAAGTGGTAAAAGCTAAGAACTTTTCAGAATTGATACAGACAGGACATCTGTGTGCAGAAGCACATACAGCTCAGCCATCAGGTGCAACTTCAGACAGGGGAGGGGAAAGAATGCCTGGTGCCTACTGCAGAGAGCTAAGTGAGCAGCGCTCTATTCCAGGGGACCTGGTGTCAAAACAGAAAGCCAAACAGAGAGGATGTTCAAAGCACCAAAAGAAAAATGACTCACTACAAATAAGGGAAACTCACAAGGCTATAAAATTTCTAAGCAGAAACTTTTTTTAAAGGCAAGGATAAAGTGGAATAATATATTCCACAGGTGCCAAAAGAGAAACCTGCAAACCAAGATACTATACCCAGCAAAGCTATCCTTTAGAAACAGGATAAAAATTTCCTCAAACACACACTGTAAGAAATATGATACTCAAATAGAAAAAAAAACTTACAGAAGATACATGAAACAAAAAAATCAAAGGTGTGAGTGGGTTGAACTCTAATCAGAAGTTACAAGGTGACTGTACTGATTTTTTTATTCCAACTACAAACGATTCACTTTAGCTTTGAAGACACAGACTCCAAGAGACAGGATGAAAAAAAACTCCATAAGAATGGTGATCAGACAGAATAATAGAATGTAAATTAAACACTGTTGCCACAGACAAAGAAAGTCATCACTAATGATAGAGTGTATTTACAAAAATGTTAGCAGGGTCAGCAAGATGGCCTGACTGTACGTTCAGTCCACAGGACCCACGTGGTGGAAAAAGAGACCAGCTACAGAAGGTGTCTTCTGATTTCCACACAAACTATGGCACATGTGCAAGTAAGTGCACACTCACTAAAATAAGTGTTCAAAATTTTTTGAAAATAAGTTAACACGTGTCTAAAGTAAGTAATAGAAGTGAAGGAAGAAACAGCAATATTATAACCACAAAGGCCTTGAACCTTCCATGCTCTACAGTGGCTGCATCATTTAGGTAGAAAATCAGCCAGCTGTATAATCTACCCTATCTAGCAACATACCAGCCTTCCACAGAAACTCAGGATGATGCCTAAAATTAAATATCAGAAACCCACCTTCCTTCACAGGTGGAAGGTGAGGAGACTGTTATGTGGCCTGGGACATTATGATATAACAAAAGTCAACTGTAAATCAAGAGCATTGTGCTGAGTTGAAGAAGCCTGTTACCAGGGTTACATTCTGTAATGCTGCATTTGACATTTCTAATAGAGAAACCATTTAATAAATAACAAGTCCTTGGTTGTTAAGACCTGGGAGAGAGTCTGATAATAGTTGACTAGTCCTGGGACTTAGGGTAATGATAGAACTGTTCTGTATCATGGTTGCAAAAGTCTTTACGTGAGCCTATGCATGGTTTAAAATGTATATACCTGAATACCAAAAGAAATAACAGTAAGGTATTCTATGTATTAGTGTGTGTTATCGGTAAGTTCTATTAACATCCAAGGACATAAACATTATAGTCTCAGGCCTAAGTTTTTCAAAATCTAAATATGAGAAAGATGATCACCCACCTCTTTAAAGGGACTGTCATACCTAGAACCAAATAAAAGAAAATAGTCCAAACACAGATACCAAAATCCCAGACTAAATATTAGCTATGCAATATATGTACATGAAAAAGTTGAATAATTTTACAGACGTTCAAAATGAGAAAAGTATGTGCATGTACATATGTAAATGCCATATCAGAATAACCTGTGAAGGAGTTTTTAATTGTCACTGTAACAGACTTCAGAATAATCAAATACTTTTTCAACAAAGAAAAATGGTTAGTAAAATTTAGTGGCTATCATAAAAGCAAACAGCCTGGGAATAGTGAGCACTTCCTTGTCTAACAAGAGCACATCTTTGTGATCAGAAACAAACAAAGTACATCCATTGTTATTACTGTGTCAACCTTTTGGTGAGGTATTCTCCACTGTAGAAGACTAGAAAGTCAGTCAATAGAGGTAGGAATTTGAATGGGAAAAGCTATCATTTACAAATGATACAGTTACACATTTAATAATGAATCTACAGATAAGTAGATATTACAGTGAGTAAAGTAATTTTCCAAGTTTTTTTTAATACAAAATAATAAACTGCTGGGGATATAGCTCAGTGGTAGAGGACTTGTCTAGAGTATGTGAAGCCCTGAGTTCAGTCCCCAGTACTATAAAACAAACAAAGTAATAAACTGAATTTAATCTCCATACATGAGTAAGAGCTATAATGTAAAATTAGGTGTGTATGACCACAAGAGAAGATGATAAGGTTTTAGTGGTAGGTATTAGAGGACACCACATGAGTGAAGAGCATTGCGTTCATGGAACAGATAGGTTTAACTTACCTCTAGACTTGCTTTCCATTTTACTGATGCTCCAGGGCTCCTTCTCATGTGCCACCCTCCTGAAGTTGCTGTGTCCCTTCATCTTCTCTGCTGCAGAACAGGGTACTGTGACTGATGGTGTTGAGTAGAACTGGTCAGGTACCTAGTAGAGCACCCCTCAGTTTGAGGTTGTCTGATTTTTTTTTTTGTAGTTGGACAGGGGTGTGGAGTTTGGGAAATAACACAGTAGTGAAGTATCCTTCTTTGACTTCATATCAGCCATACACAGTTGCTGCAGGGCATCACTGTAATCTTCCAGCTGTTGCGATCGGAACAGCCAGAGGCTAAGAAGCAGAAAGAGATTAAAGGGAATGAAGCCAGAGTAGTAATGAAATTCCATAACATCTAAGGATCTTAAAAGTATTAGGAGCACTTCGGTTTTCATTTGCAGAGGGAAGTGTGAGGAGAATGCAGACAGAGCAGCGGCGTGGTGTGCTGTAGGTGCTGTACTGCCAACCTGACAACAGGAAGGCAGGCAGCAGCGTAAATGCAGATGGAGAGCCACAGCTTGAGTCAGGATGATGACTGGCAAGAAGGTGAGAAGGTATAGAATTGATTGTGTTTTCAGAGGAAGTTTTACAAGATGTAATCTGGAGTAAGAGAAGAAAGCTTAAGATGATCCTATCTCCGTTATTTGTTGAAATTTGAAGGAAACCGAAGGATGAGATGTTCATTACTCTCAATCTTGTTGGAATCAAAGTTCCATAGTTTCATTTTCATGTGTGTGTTCATGCATGGGTGCACATGTATGTGCAGGTGCTCACTCACACAAGTGTGTATCATGTATGTGGAAGACAGAAGTGGGTATCTGATATCTTCCTTTATTGCTTTCCACCTTTTCTTTTGAGACGGTCTCACTTACTGGAGCTCACTGGTGGGTTGGGCTGGCTGACCAGTGAGCTGGGGATCTGGTGGGCTGGGCTGGCTGAACAGTGAGCTGGAGATCTGGTGGGCTGGGCTGGCTGACCAGTGAGCTGGGGATCTGGTGGGTTGGGCTGGCTGACCAGTGAGCTAGGGATCCTCGTGTCTTTGCTTCTCCTAACCCATCAGTGCTAGGATTACAGATCTGCCACTGCATCCAGCTTTTATGTGGATGCTGAGGGTCTGAATTCCGGTCTTGCTCATGTGGTGTTTACCCTTTGAACCATCTTAACTACCCTTGGTTTTGTTTTTTCCTGATTCCATTATTCATCATGACTTCTGAAATATTTGCTGAATGGGACCAAGGACAGAGCTGGAGCATGGCTTGAGCTTTCCTCTATAAACTGCTTTTTGTCAATTTCCTTCAAGTCAGAGTTGCCTAGGTGGTGGTATTTTATTTAGCAAAGCTGGGGATTGAACCTGCAGCATCATGAATGTGAGGCAAGTGTCCTGCCACTGAGCTACCGTTCCAGTCCTGACATCACTCTTCAAT